TATAAAGTTACTGGGGGCCAGATCTGGTGAATACGGGGGATAGTCTACAAATTCAAAACCTGCTTGGTGTGAGGCAGCAAATCAATTTGACATATTAACCAATTTTTTCTTAGCATAGCCTACTAAGATCACTTGTTCCACTGCAAAGGGGTCAGGGGCGGAGGATATGGATCAATCTCCGTATTGACATGTAGAAAAATATGATACGATAAATAGAAATTAAAATCTAACGGAGAGTTCATGTAAGGTCCAGCTTCAGTAACAGATTCTATCGTGATGTTTCACTATTAGCTCTCCTGACAATAACAATAGCTAAACATTTTTTAACCATTTTAGTATCACCTCTGATTATTATAAGCCTTGCAACCATTTCAGATAGCGATGAATAGGAGTATGAATCTTTTTGTGACACTTCATCGGACAGTTCGCACTCTATCATGTAAAGAGCTATTTTTCAAAAATAAAATCTAATTCATTTTAGATGTTTTTCAAAATTGCAAACATTCATTTTCTATATGATGTAGAACGCTGACTTACCGATTTTATCATGACGTTTCCCTAGCAGTCTAATATTTTAGTAAAAATGATAATGAGCAGCTTTTCAATCATCTTTAATACCAAGTACTATACAACATTTGTTTCAGGAAATGATGAGGTCGATCGAAGAAGTAGATGATTCTAAGATATCTCTGGGCAATCTTGATTACATCTGGATATCAATACCTTAATCAGACAACCGCTGTTTTAGTAACTGAGCTGTATTTCAGGTAAGTTATGTATCTGAAGAATTCAACACATTTTTGAAACTAGCATAAAAAATTCTGGAGCTTCTAACAGATCCTATCGTGAGGTTTTACCTATTAGCCCTTTTGGCAATAGTACTGGTAAGACGTAGGTATAGCAATTATTGCAGATGAACTACTTCTCAAAAATAAAATCATCTCAGATGTTGTGCAAAATTTGGAACATTAATTTTTTACATGATGTAGAAAGCTGACTTACTGATTCTATCATAATGTTTCCGAAGCACTCTGATAAAAATAATAGTGAGGGGCTTTTCAGTCATATTTAATACAAAATACGTACTATAGAACATCTGTTCCAGAAAATGATGAGGGAGATCGAAGAAGTAGATGCCTCTAAGACATATTTGGGCAATGTTCTATTATATCTGAATATCAATACCTCAATCAGACAGCCGCCGCCGTTTTAGTAGATGAACCATAGGTATTTCACATACGTTATGTACCATTTGACGGAGCTAGTCCCAAAAATATTTCACATATTAAAAACAACGCTACTGAAATTATATTGTTAAATTAGAAACACACTTTGAGAATTCAACACATTTATGAAACTAACATACAAAACTCAGGAGTGTCTAGTATGTAATAATGTAAACACAGTAACAGATCCAATCGTGACGTTTCACCTAATAGCCCTTTTGACAATAGTATATAGTAGTTAAACAGACAGCAATTATTACAGGTGAATTACTTTTTAGAATTAAAATCTAATTCTAACATTGGATGGAGGCGTTGTGTGGTGCATGAGTATATTCGAGTTGTGAGATGCTTCAAGTGTGCTAGGTATGGGCATATAGCTATTAAGTGTACCAATAATGAAACATGTTTCAAATGCGCGGGTCAACACAAAAGTGATAGTTGTACATCTAATATGGAAAACTGTATTAATTGCATTGAAACAAACAGGAAGTTTAAAAAATCTCTAGATACAAACCACGCGGTCACAGATCCAAACTGCTTATGCTATCAAAGAATATTAAACATTGAAAAAAGGAAAACAGAAGAATAACCACTACAGTCCCATCCAATTAGTCAAGTAAATTTATCCAGTCAAACAAAAAAAATCTGCAACAATATATAATATAGATAATCATTATATTACAAATGAACGGGTGCTAGTCAGCATCATACATCAAAATGTGCAATCACTGGGAAATGCTGTTGATCTTATGGACGATATGTTAAATAACCACCAGGAAGGTCAAATAGTATGTGTAACAGAGCCTTGGAAAACGAGTCAGCAACTACCCTACTTAGTGCTAAAAAATTTTAGTTTGTCATCAGCTTTTTGCAGAGAAGATGGCTTTGGAGGTAGTGAGAAAAGGTGTGCATCAAAGAAGTATAAATGTCAGATGTCAAGTAGCAGAGGAAGGTGTGTTTGAATGTGCAGTGAGTGAATGTAAATTGGGTAATATAATCGTTGTGGTGTTAGTTGTGTACCGACCTCCGAGTGGTAACTTTTCAAAGTTTATTAATAAGTTAGAATGTATATTAAATGAGATTTTTGTTTCAAACAGATATTTGTGTATCAGGAGACTTCAACACTGAAATATTAATAGAGAATGAAAACAAAAATAACTTATTGACGCTTATGAGCTCATTTAATTTGGAACCAAAAATAAAAGCAAATACAAGAATAACGCATAGTACCGCTAGTTGCATAGATAATATGTTCACAAATTTCGAAATTGAAAGTGCATCTGTTCTTTGCACTCATATTTCCGATCACACTACTCAGAAAATCAATTTCTTTGCGGTCCCAGTTACAACGTCAAATTACACGTATAAAAGAATTTTTTCAGAAGATAACAAACAATACTTTCTTGAATGTATAAAAAATGAGGATTGGATTGAGCTGGTGCAGGATATTGGAAATGCAAATGAGCAATGGATTGTATTCATGAATAATTTCATAGGTATATTTAATCAGTGTTTTCCTTTGAAACGATTTAGTGATAAGAGTCGTGTGAGGAAACATGAGCGTAATGAAGTGATTACAGAGTGCAAAAATAGACTGGATATTCTGTTGACCCTATGTAGAGTAGATGGTGATTATAAGAAAATGTACAAGAACACAAAAAAAGAATATGACTGTTTGTTGCAGAAGGCCAAATCAGAAAAATACGATCAGAAAATCAGAAATTCGGGCAATAAAAGTAAATCTATGTGGGCGATATGTCATGAAATCACAGGTCAAAACAATCATAAAGACATTCATAACAAAGGAGATCCAAATCTAATACCACAGCAGTATAATGAATATTTGTTATCAGCAATTCCGCTTTTACTGAAAGATGTGACACAGGTACCTTTTGACTGCAATTTACAAGAAAACAACTAATCATTATACTTAAGACTGACTGTTGATGAAGTGTGTGAACTGTCGAGGAGGATAAAAAATAAATTCAGCTGTGGTATAGATGATGTTCCAACAACAATAGTAAAACTTTCCATTCCAGTTTTAAAACATGTTTTATGCTTACTTATTAATAATGCTTTTAGACAAGGATCATTCCCAGAGAATTTGAAAATAGCTGTTATAAAACCAATTTTTAAAAAAGGTAATCCAGAGCAACTGGAAAATTATAGGCCAATCAATATTTTAACAGGTTTTTCAAAATTATTTGAGTTAGGCATCAGTAAGAGATTATTAGAATTCATGGATGACTGTAATTTATTTAATACACATCAGCATGGTTACCTACATGGGCGATCAACAGATACTGCAATCTTTCAATTTGTTCAAACAGTACTTAAGCAATTAGAGGAGGGAAACTTAGCGGTTGGTTTCTACCTGGACTTGTCCAAAGCTTATGATTGCATCAACAGAGACATATTGTTATTAAAGCTACAAAGATATGGTGTGAGAGGAACTGCGCTAGAATTGTTCAAGTCATACCTATAATAGACAACAGAGGGTTGAAATTGTTAAAGGAGGTCAAACTTACAAGTCAAACATTCAGTTGACTTCAACCGGCATAGCACAGGGTAGTATACTTGGGCCCATTTTGTTTGTAGTTTTTTTAAACGATCTCTGCTTTGTTACTAGTGGTGATCATAGCAAGGATAAAATTATCTGCTATGCTGATGACACAAATTTAGTTTTGGGTGGGACAAGTGTAGAGGACCTAACTGCTAATGGGAATCTCTTATTCAGAAGTGTGAATACATGGTTTTCTGGGAAAAAACTAGTGCTGAATAAATCCAAAACTGATGCAACATTATTTAGAACTAAGCAGAGTAAAGTCGTTAAGCCACAATATATCGATATAGATGATCATCAACTGCAGTTGAGTGAAAGTGTAAAATTCTTAGGCATCTATATTGATGAATTTTTAGATTGGACAACACATTTATTCGAACTGCTGAAGAGGCTCAATTCCATTTGCTATGGTTTTAGGGTGATATCAAGATATCTAAATAATACGAGTATGAAAATATTGTACCATGCTAATTTTGAAAGTGTTCTAAAGTATGGGATTATTTTTTAGGGACGCAATAGGTTTATTCAAAAAAAATTTGTTGTCCAAAAAAGAGCAGTACGTCTGCTAAAGGGACTAAATTTTAATGAAACTTGCAAGGGGGTGTTGAAAACTGAAAAAATCATGACTGTGTATGCCATCTATGTGTATGAGTGTCTTATATTTTTTTCAAAAATAAAAATTTATTTGAGGTTGAGGTGATACTCGAACAGTCAATGTTACTTATTCAATACACAGATTATCCTCCACAGAAAAAAGCCCTATTTACATGTGTTTAAAATTTTTTAACAATCTACCAAATGAAATTAAAAACATAAACACTTTACATAAATTTAAAAAAACTATTAAGCAATTTCTAGTACAGATAGAGCCTTATATAATAGATGAGTTCTATGGGAGTTGTAATAGTATAAGATAGTAGCTGTTTTAAGATAAATAACCATGTAACACAAAAAAAAGGTAAACTACTATAGTTATGGTGATCATGACGCAACATTTCATTTTGTAGTGTCTATACAATTTTTGTAATGTCATTGTACAATTTGGAATATAGATTATTATTATTATTATTATTATTATTATTATTATTATTATTATTATAAGGCTGACTTACTGATTCTATCATGACGTCTCCTTAGCACTCTGATAAAAATAATAATGAGGAGCTTTTCATTCATCTTTAATATTAAACACTATATAACATTTGTTTCAGAAAATGATGAGAGAGATCGAAGAAGCAGATGCATCTAAGACGTCTTTGGGCAATGTTATGCTATATCTGAATATCAACACCTTAATCAGACAACTGCTGTTTTAGTAACAGAATTATATTCAAGGTAAGTTATGTAGGTACCATTTCAGGGAAACTTAAACCAAAAATCTATACCTGCACACTAAAACCAAGTCCAAGATAGAGTTGATGTAAACATAGTCATGCACTTCGCACGCGTATCTCGAAGGCTGACGGTTTGTACAGAGTCGTTTTCAGCACCTTTTTGCGATGATTCAATGATTCCAAACGATTTATCGATTGCGGATGCTATATCTTAGAAAAAAATCTTCATGGTTGCGACTGAAGTAAAATATGGCAGATCTATAACAAAATATGGCCACTATGTGCACTTTAAAAGACTTCCATTGGAATTTCCATAAATCATAAACGCCATTTGAAAAGGAATGTAATCATTTTAATTCTACGTACAACTATTAACATTGTTTATCAGAATGTTGAACTTGAACTGTCATCCTCATCACTTGTATCATTCTGGCCAAATTCAATTATCAGTGGTTTCACTTGTCTTTCTAAAATATTATCGAGCTCCCACATCTTTGTCTCGACTTTTGTTATCACATGCCGAACACACTTGTCCGATTTCTCGGCTCCGATTCTGCTTAGGGCTTCATCAAAAAGTACCTTGAGGTCAGAAAATTTATACGTAGTGTTATGTTGTGCCACAAAGTCTTTAACGTCCGCCCATACGAGCTCGATGGGAATTAGCTCACAGTGATATGGGGGCAGACGAAGGACTGTTTTGTTATGGCTTGCTGCCATATCATCGACTGCATATTTTTCGTATGCAGCCTTATGCTCTTTGACAATTTTCAATAGCTGGACTCTTAGCATTGAGTCCTCAAAGCTGATATTCTTTGCTCGCAACCAATTTTGTATTTCAACTTTTTTCGATGACGTCGTCGGTATTTTCTCTATTAGTCGAGAATGGTATGGCGCATTGTCCAGTACAATTACTGAGTTGTCTTCCAGGTATGGTAGGACATTAGAAAACCACTTTTCGAAAGATTCCCCGTTCATTTCTTCGTGGTAGTCACCTGTTTTCTTTGACTCGAAACACCACAGCCCTTCAGCAACAAACCCATTCTCATTGCCAATATGACAAACAATTAGTATTTTTCCTTTACCTGGAAGTGAGAACTGGTATGTAACTTAATAAAACACCATAGTGATAAAATACACACTTGAAATCGGATTTTTTGAAATTCGGAAGAATAAACTGGCCTCCGTCGAGATTTGAACTCGAGACCTTCTGCTTTACGCGCAGATGCTCTACCACTGAGCTAGAGATCCCCGACAGCCCAGATGGCAGAACTTCAATGTAAGATACAAGGTTCTAAGAATCTGGTTCGCCAACAATACGATGTAATTCAGATACAAACATAGCACGCGTAGTTAATTCCGGAAAGAGAAGGATGTTCAGCCAACAGACAGCCAGACCGACGTAAACTAGTGTCATGAATGTTATTTTAAATTCGGAATTCCTGGTCTATGCGTGGGAAGTAAAATATTGTAGAAACAAAATGATTTCAATTAAATAAAATATACAAGCTAAGAAAAGCTAACGTTTTCTTGAATATATCCTGAAATATCAAATTACTTTGAAAGACAAAATAATTTAAAGGATGTTCAAGTATCTTTTGTTAAGTTACGATTAAAAGTTTACCAGATGGATTTTTCAAACCGGTGGACAGTCCATCTAGAAATGCCCTCCTAGATGAGGTCACGGTTTCATCGACCCATACCTTAGGAGTAGTATGACCAGCATTAACCCAGGTTTCATCCAAATAATAAATTGTCCTTTTTTGCTCCCTATATTTTTTGATTTTGGTCAAATATTCTCTTCTCCAGATTATGAGTTCTTCCCTATCCAACAGTAAACTATTGCGTCCCCGTTTCTACCATTTGAAATTTAAATGTTTTAACAATTATTACTAAATGTAGACCGCTTGAAACTAGGCAACATAGCATCATTTACTTATGTGAGTACTTTTTCCACCGTGAGTATTTCATTTCTAAAAAAGTATTAATGCAATTTCCTCCTTATTGCATGTTTATCAGCCTCATCTATCGATTTTATAATGCTTGGGCGATTTTGATTTGTCTTAGGTTTGGAAAATGTATGATTAGCTTTATATTCCCTCAAAACATTAAAAATCGAAGCGCGACATACTTCAATTCTATCAGCAACTTTCGAAGCGACGTCTTCGACCGAAGATGTTCCATCTTCCTCTATCTCCTTTTTGAACACATTCAAAATAACCTCTTTCATCTCGATACTCAAATGTCTTCTTTTGGATCGTTTTATAACTGGACTCAAGCAACAACTCACAGTCTCGCCAGCAGTATCTGTACTGGACATCTTCGATTACAGATCACAGTAATACATAACAATAGCAAATGATAATAACTATAAAAAATCCAGCAAATACAATAAAAACTTAACAAAAGCAAATGAAAACCGCGAACTGAAGAAATACTAAAAAAGCAGGATGCACGCCAACACGCCACGCAAACGCCTGATTGGGACTGTGTATTAAGGCGGCACCGCGGCCCACCAATGAATTGACCAATGAGCACTGCCATGTCCACCTGTTGCCGGCCGATCACGTGAATATCACGATTGGCGTTTGTTATGTTCAACTCTATGTTGGACTTGGTTTTAGTATAGATACTTTTTACGAATAAAATCTAATTCATTATTAAAAGATAGGATCTTCCATGTTGGTTGTTAATTTGCTTGGGAGGCGTGCCTACTGAGCTTGTCATAAGACTGGCCACACCTACACTGCGCAACGATAGTACAGGTCAACTAGGCAAGTGTCAGCGTTTTTTTTTTGCTTTTGCCACCGCCTACTAGCGGTGGGCAAGTGAGGCTGCCGCCACTGGGCGCAGTGTCATGGTTTGCGCAAATTTCTCAATCAAGGGCGGATCCAGGGGGGTCATGACCCCCTCGTTGGGCAAATGATTACATACCAGCCGCGTCTCTTCAGTTATCAGAAAGGCATAAGCTCTAGGAATCTTAAAATTACAACGGCAGCTCATGTGTTCCCCAGAGATCGGAGTCTTGGCTCCGACATTATTTCTCCTTCATCTCAACGACTCCCTTTCCTGTACGATCCACAGCTTTGCTGATGATAGCACCCTACATGCAGGAATTCAGAGTGACAAGTCAATGTTTGCTGGTGAGCTGGAGAAAACATTAGCAGCGACTTCCACTCTCACCTGAAGCCTGGAGGTTATCACTGCGGGGTACAGTTTAATGCTACCAAAACATACGGCAATGAGCCGTTCATTTTGGCTGGTCGGAGTTCAGATCATCGAGGTCTTGACTTGGACATCGTTAGTCGGTATGTAGGTAGTCTTACCGAGTTTTGGTACACTGAAAGGTGCAACTATATGAATAACTATAGTTGCCACATTTATGTGCCACATTCTGTGAGGCACAGTCCTCGAATTATAAAATACAGGGTGACTTCGAAGTTGAGTCATTTATTTTAACAGTGAGTAGATCTGATCAAAAGAAATGTTTTTTCCTTTAACATTTTTGTGGTAAAATTAAAGTAACAAAGTTATAGCCCTTTAGAAGTTTGAGTACCGCCCTGTCTCAATAATAATGGGTGAGGTGAATAAAAGAGAGTAAATGCTTTTACTTCATAATTTTAAAGTAAATTCTTGGTAGTAAGTGATTAATAAAACTTTTACTTGTACTTGTCAAGCAAACACTTGCTGTCTCGAGTTATTACTCCTAAAGTAACTATTTTGAGTGTTCACTTACGATTGGAGTGAATAACAGTAATAGAAAACTACGTATTAAGTAAATACTTTAATTTTCGCAAGGTCTAAACTAAATTATGGCAGCATTTATGAATATACGTAAAGTTAAACAATATCGTGATCGAACAGATCTCAGATATAGTGCAAAACGCCTTTTAAGGTTTGAAAATGAAAATATCGATTTTACTACAAAATATTTCTTACCAAAAACCAACGAAACTCGAGGTGGTGCTCTGTCCTTAAGAAAATATATTGAAATATTTCTCCGGTATATTAGCGACCCTGGTTTTCAAAGTGGTGTTGCAAACGATTTTGGTGTTGAAAGAACAACGGTTTGTAAGACTGTAGATTATTTTGCACAATTTTTTTTTTTTTTTTTTTTTTTTATATCGAAACAGCCGCGCAGGCAGAAGCCTAAATGCCGGAACACCGCAGCTGCTATGATGATCCCAAAGACATTTTGTTAATACGATTTTTGAACTGCCTAAGGTTAGTAGAACTGGGAAAAGCTTCCTCCCGTAGATTGTTCCACAATCTAGACACCCTCGGGACAAAGGAGCGGTCGTATCGGCCAGTTCTGGATGTACGAAGTTTGACACGGTCAGGCGGGTCTGTCTGGCAGGCACATCGCGCGGCGGCATCATGGAAGAGAGCTCTGAGGAGCAAAGCCCGTTGGTGTAGCGATAGAAAAGAGCTAGATCGCCGACGGCCCGCCGGTGCGAAAGAGTCCCGAGACTGTCTGTTAGGGAAGAGTCATCGATCAGTCGGACCGCCCTCCTCTGGGCGGCAGCACCCCAAATGTGTGAGCAATACTCGAAGCTAGGCCTTACCTGGGCCTTGTATAGAGTGAGAAGGTCATGCGGAGAAAAGTAGTTCTTAGCCCTAAACAAATAGCCTAGCTTTTTCCCAGCAGCTGCAGCTATTGAAGAGATGTGTTCGTGCCAGATCAGGTCCTCGGTGATCTGGACTCCGACCAGCCGAAATGAATGGTTCTTTGGTAGAACTCGACCGTCCATCGAAACTGTATGAGCGCTAGGACGCTTTTTGTTCGTCAAAGTACAGTACTGTGTTTTGGAAGCATTGAACTGTACAAGATTGTTGCGTCCCCAAGCAGTGATAGCCTCCAGGTCTCTTGTCAGAGAAGACGTCGTCGCTAGTCTTCTTTTTTCCAGCTCAGCGGCAGAGATCGGCTTGTCACTCTGAATTCCTGCATGTAGAGTGCTGTCATCAGCGAAGCTGTGGATTGGGTTGATCGTTCAGGAAAGGAGG